TCCTGCTGGGATCATCCTGCTGGGATCGTCCTGCTGGGATCGTCCTGCTGGGATCATCCTGCTGGGATCGTCCTGCTGGGATCATCCTGCTGGGATCATCCCTCTGCTTCCATCCCTCTGGGATCATCCTGCTGGGATCATCCCGCTGGGATCATCCTGCTGGGATCATCCTGCTGGGATCATCCTGCTGGGATCATCCCTCTGCTCCCAGCTCAGCTCATCCCTCTGCTCCTGCTGCTCCCACCCCTCTGCTCCTGGCCGGGCTCGTCCCTCTGCTCCCATCCTGCTGGGATCATCCTGCTACTCCCACTGGGCTCATCCCTCTGCTCCTGGCTGCTCCCATCCCTCTGCTCCCATCCTCTGCTCCCATCCCTCTGTTCCCTCTGTTCCTTCTGTTCCTTCTGTTCCCTCTGTTCCCTCTGTTCCCTCTGTTCCCTCTGCTCCCATCCCTCTGCTCCTGGCTGCTCCCATCCTCTGCTCCCATTCTCTGCTCCCATCCCTCTGTTCCCTCTGTTCCTTCTGTTCCCTCTGCTCCCCTCCCTCTGCTCCCATCCCTCTGCTCCCATCCCTCTGCTCCCATCCTCTGTTCCCATCCCTCTGTTCCCATCCCTCTGTCCCCACCCCTCTGTTCCCTCTGTTCCCATCCCTCTGTCCCCTTCCCTCTGTTCCCATCCCTCTGTTCCCATCCCTCTGTCCCCACCCCTCTGTTCCCATCCAGGCTCATCCCTTGCCCTCCCTGCCCCAGCAGCTCCCGGGAAGGCGCCCTTGGCACATCCAGGGAATCGGGGCTGCCCCCGGAGCTTTCCCGGTTTTGGGGAGCTGGGAAAGCTCCCGGGATCCCTTTGTGGGGGAGTTGGTTCCCAGCGGGGCTCTCCTGGGGAGGAGAGCGGGATCTGCCGGGAATTTGGGAATCCCGAGGCTCAGGGCTCTTCCCTCCCGGCAGCCCTGGGGCTTCCCGGCCCGGGAATTCCTGCGGAAGAAGCTGATCGGGAAGGAGGTTTGCTTCACCGTGGAGTACAAAACCCCGCAGGGCCGGGAGTACGGAATGGTGTACCTGGGAAAAGGTGAGGATGGGAATTCCTGGGAAAAGGTGAGGATGGGAATTCCTGGGAAAGGTGAGGATGGGAATTCCTGGGAAAGGTGAGGATGGGGGAATTCCTGGGAAAGGTGAGGGTGGGAATTCCTGGGAAAGGTGAGGATGGGGGAATTCCTGGGAAAGGTGAGGATGGGAATTCCTGGGAAAAGGTGAGGATGGGAATTCCTGGGAGCAGGTGAGGATGGGAATTCCTGGGAAAAGGTGAGGCTGGGGATTCCTGGGAAAAGGTGAGGATGGGGGAATTCCTGGGAAAGGTGAGGATGGGGGGATTCCTGGGAAAGGTGAGGATGTGAATTCCTGGGAAAAGCTGAGGATGGGGGAATTCCTGGGAAAAGGTGAGGATGTGAATTCCTGGGAAAAGGTGAGGATGTGAATTCCTGGGAAAAGGTGAGGCTGGGGGGATTCCTGGGAAAAGCTGGGATGAGAAGTTTCTCAGGAAAAGCCGGGATGGGAGGGTTTCCCGGGAAAAGGTGAGGCTGTGGGTTTCCTGGGAAAAGCTGGGATATGGGAGGTTTTCTGGGAAATGCAGGGATGGGAGGATTCCCAGGAAAAGCTGGGTCTGGGAATGAGGCTGGGAAGGGTTTGGATGTTGGGAATGGTTTGGATGTTGGGATGGGTTTGGATGTTGGGAATGATTTGGATGTTGGGAATGGTTTGGATGTTGGGATGGGTTTGGATGTTGGGATGGGTTTGGATGTTGGGATGGGTTTGGATGTTGGGAATGATGTTGGGATGGGTTTGGATGTCGGCTCCTGTCGGGGCCTCTCCCGGTGCCGTCCCCGTCCCTCCCTGCTCCAGCCGGGAACGGCGCCGGTGGGAGAAATGAGGCTGGAAACGTTTCCTGCTGGAATTTGTCAGGGCTTTAACTCCATTAACGTGGGAATGCTGGGACAGGTTCCCTGCAGCAGCTCCGGGATGGGAGGGTGGGATGTGGGGCTGTGCAGAGGGGTGGGGACCTGGGATGAGGCCACAGGGTGAGGGACGGCCCGGGGCAGGGACTGTCCCCTGTGCTGGCCCTGCTGAGGGACCCCCTGCAATCCTGGGGACAGCTCCGGGCCCCTCCTGCCAGGAGAGCCCTGGAGGGGCTGGAGGTGTCCAGGGATGGAGCTGGGAAGGGTCTGGAGC